TTTTTTTACACTTTTTAGTTAGAACAAAAAAATGCTTTTAGCCTTTACAAACAACATGCCTGCCATCCTTTAAGAACAAGGGTGAACTGCAGCTTTCGTTCTCAGAAAAGTGCAAGGATGTGACGTGCAAAATGATCCCAAAAAGGAAAGCAAGGAAATGTGTTACACTTGGCCTCTCAGCTACATTCACACTTCCCATTCTTCAGGCTTCAGGTAAGTGAATGCCTAGTGTCAGTTTTAATGTGTGAGTATGATATACAAACATGAAATTCTATAGAGCAAATTCTACTTTCAGGCATACCTCTGCATTTCTTAGGTATGAGTGAGAACAACTTTGGATCCATGTTGTTTGGGGTTTTTTTTGGTTGGGTTTTTTTTGTGGGTTTGGTTTTTAGTTTTGGGGTTTTTTTTGTTTTTTGTTTTTTTGGTTTTTTGCACAAAACATATTTCAGCATACAGTTGCCTCACAGCAAATTTTATGTTGATTTAGGGTTCACTACTTCTACATCTTACATGACTTCTTCGGGCTACTTACTTTGCTAAGAATGAGACCTTCACAGCCTGTGCAACTATACGGACTAACTTTGGTTGTTGGTGTGAAAGCAGAAGTTGTTTTCACCAGTATCACCAATTAATGACATTTATTATGCCAATAAATGGCACAGTTAAAGAGCAAAGAAGCAGACACAAACAGATTTTTTTAGACCACCGCATACAGGATTCACCTCATGTTAGCTTGAAATGTCTGTAACGTGCAGTCAGTAGAAACAATCGGCTTCTGAGCATGAGCATATTTTAGTTGTGTACGTTAGGAGATGAATGGAGACCTAAATGCATGTATTTCTCTCCATGGCTGATAAGGACAGACTACGGTGACTACTGGGCTATATAACTGGCCTTTGGCCAGAGAAATCCCACACTTGATATCTCGTTAATTGATATCTGACAGAATATTTATCACGTACACACCATTTTTGTAACACTGGCTTCCTGTGGTTTATATTAGAATATTTACCTGTTCAACAAAAACGTCCATGTGAAAATACATGGATTGATATTTTTATCTTGGCTTGCACACCTATCTGTGACCAAACCACTCTAGCATTGGTATCAATTACTTAAAGGTTTAATAAAGCAAATATCAACTTATCATGGAGGTTTTAAAATTACTAAATATGTATTTGACAATCAAGAAAAAAGTAAATACTGTTAAAATAATGCTGTATCTATGTAAACTGGGGCAAGAAGCATGAAACTATTACTCAAATCCAGCAATATACAGACACAGCAGTAGTAACTAATACAGTTTTGCTGTTGTTGAAGTTAATTTTGTATTTCCTTGGGCATTATGTGTGTGCAAAGGACTGAATTTAGCAAACTTGGCATGCTTTGCAATGAAGGTCTGGTTTGTCCTCAATAGAAAAGGCAGAAAAAAGTTCACATTGTTCAACTCCAAAAAAGATAATTCTCTGTCACTGGAAGTTGAAGAAAATTTCCATAATCTGGTTGCAGCTGGGGTCTGTGGCATGGCATGAGATGGAGCAATTCCACTTCTATTCACTAGAGGGGAGTGGCACACATAAACAATAGTATTTCACTGAAATAGGATTTATTCAACATAATAGGCCTTTTTCCTGTCTCCTTTAAAAAAAAAAAAAAAAGGACTTGTATTCTTATTGAATGAAGGAAAAATGCAAAAAATTAAAGCATGACTACAGAAATCTTCATATTCTCCACAGTACCTCTCAAAGCTCAGAAGCTAGCAATATTTTTAATGGTACATTTACTACTCCAAAGCATGGAATTAGCAAAGAGTAAATTGCTGTGAAAAAGGAACTGACTTTCTATCACAGAGTCAACTTTTGCTGGAGCTAAAAGGCTGTAGGGAGTTTGACGGAATTAGGAACATTCACTACAATTTAAACAACAAAATTCCAGTAATATTTAAAAACCCAGAAATTCCTGAAGAAAAATTCATAACTGGTTGATTACCAACAGAAACATGTGAAGCTAGGGTTTAATGGTGCCTCTTAAAGATAAATATGCATATTTTGATATTGCAGTAAATCTAAAAGATATATCCCATCAACTGCTTTTGAGCCAAAGGGAAAACTTTCTTGCCATCAGTAGATTTAGTCAGAGGTTGCTGATGCTGCCACAGTTATTTATAATTTTTACAGTTCTATATTGCTTCTACCCAAATCAAGAAAACCTTTTTGTAATTCCTGAAAAGTATTCCACGTAGCTCATCAGTAAGATCTTCACTCCTCAATCAGGCCATTCATAACAGATTTTTAAAAATACATTTGTGTTAACTATATATGTATCCTATACATCAATTTCCAATTACATTTTAAATTTCTCAGATATTCAAGCACGAAGTATCTGCAGCTGATCCCCACAGAAAAAGCAATGCAGAATTATGTGTGGATGTAAGACAAGGCCATCAAGGAGTTATCACAATCTTGTCAACATGCTAATTTTAACACTGGTGAGCAACTTTGCATTTCTCTCCTTCATTTTCTGCACTGAGGTTGCTGCTGCCAGGGTGGATGTCTGTGTGCTGGGAGAAGAAGCCCTTCTGCACCCTCCTCTCCTAGCAGCGGGGGGGAGGGGGCACCCAGCCAGGCAGTGCCTGAGTCTGTCCCTGTTCCCTCTGTCCCAAGGAAGAGGCAGCAGCAGCCGAGGCTGGGTGCACGCGGACATGGAGGGACGGGAACAGGCTGGGCTGGAGCTGCACCTCCTCATCATCACCAACAGACCCAGACAGACATGGGCTGGCTAGTGCCTGGTTAAGACTGGGCCGCTCCAGTCCTCTGCAGCTTGGTACTTGTGGATAAAAGAGGCTGTTGGAAAAGTTACTCTAAAAACCTGCCAAATGGCTACAGGGACTGGAATAATCCACCAGCCTCAGCCAAGAGCCCAGACACAGAACCTGTCTGTCTGCCCATGAATAATCACCACAGATTGGGCTCTCTTTTCCTCACTACAGTTCCTCTGAAGCTGCTGAATTAGAAAGGTCTTGGTCTAATGTTTGCTGCATTCAAAATAAGCCCTTGCCCGGAAGACACATTAGAAATGTCCAGTTCCCTTGTTTGAGATCTTATCTGCGTGGCCTCCTGGCTCCAGCCTCCTGTCCTATGCAGAAGCACTATCAAACGTGCTTTATCAAACGCTCCCCGACACGAAAGGCACCCGCGTTGCAGGCCTAGTGCCTGCTATGCTCTGCTCTACTCATCCAGCGTGGGCATTCTGGCTCCATCACTGCTTGGTGCTGTGCCTAGCACTGTACACACAGGCAATTGGCAAATTACGGTTGTCCGGATGCCCAGATGGAGACTGCATTTATAAAGTTCCATCTGAAAGAAAATAGAGGTGCATTTTGGGAAAAATGATTGCTGGCTGCTGCCTGAGCCTAGGAAGCGCTAGTCAGAATGACATGCAAGAAACAACGTAAAACTGCCTTCACCAATTTTGCTTGTATCCCAAAAGCCAGCACTGTCCATGAGGTGTACGGGTCCTTCAGCCTTTGCTGTGACATTCCACCCTTCACTTTTATTGCTATTGCTTTTCCTAAAGCTGTAGAAACTTCACAAAATATATACATTAAAAAGTAAGCGGGACACTGATGGTTTTGAAAATTTTAGAGTTGTTATTATTATTGCTCCATCTTGCCCAGAGAACAGATAAATTATCCTTAACCTTTGAGGGCTAAGGACACAGTGGAGAGAATATGAGCCCAAATCTCTCCAATTTTCAGGCAGTCATATGTCTGAAGTCATGTGTCAAAAGTGGCTGACAGTACTGTGGCTCTATTCCTCCCAAAGCAAAGCAAAAAAACCCGCAAATCTTTAAGAGGATAAGACAGGAATTTGTGATCTCAGTAAGTTTTTTACTTCTGACTTTTAAACAGCTAATTTTTATATCTAAAAATCAAACTGATTTTATATATGCATTAACAGGCTAAAATGCAGGCATCAGAATCTGAAAGCAATTACAGTTCTTACACATGAATCGTATTTTTGTGCTCTAGTCTTAGCAAGGTATACTATTATAGAAAGGAAGTACAGAAACTGATTTTCTCATTCAAATTTGTGTTCTGTTCAAATCGATTTCATTAGTTAGTGATCCCTTTAGCTAATTACAAACCTGAGTAATTATTTAAGGAATTAGGCTTTCTGTGGTGTCAGAGGTATGCAGCATCACCCAGATTTTTTAATTCCTGCTCAGTGACTAGAAAATACCTTCTTCAGGGACTAGCCAGTCAGTGTTGAGGAAAGTTGTAACTACTTTTCCAGTAAATTAACCTAATACCTTATAAAATGTAAGGTTACACACTTTACATGGCATTCTGCTTTTCTGCTTTGTATTAGATTTTAAAATTAGGCTTAACTGAAAGCCATATGAAAAACCGTACTTTAAATATTTCACCACAGAGCTGGCAATAGGCTTTTTTTATTCTATTTGTCAATTGAGTGCCACTGACCAGTTAGGTGGCAGGATTCTCATCTATCTGTTGTTTCTTTCAACAGTTTCATACAGAGAATTTCTTTAAAGGCCTAATGCCAATACACTGGATTTTGCCTGAGCTTCTACTATTCCCACAACTTTATATATTATTTGTATAGCTCTTTACAAATAACTACCAATCCTGCAATCGGGTATTTCAGATTGGCTTAGCTACAAAACTGAATCCTTCACACAGCACCTGAAAAAACCCCACCCAGTAGTTCATAACTGCCAACAAAGATGTAACACTGATAACAAAAGCTGACTTGTAAAAATAACATTTTTCTCATAATTCCTTAAATTAAAATAACAACTTGTACCTCTTTGGTTTTGGTAGCAATCCCATTTGCACCTCATAGGAAAACTTTTAATTCTAAAACAGAAAATACAATTTTTACTTTACACAGTAAAAAAAAAAAAGAAAATAACTTCTTAATCAAAGATCATTTTCTCAAACAGAATAAGATTGTGGAAAATTGTATAATCTCCAAGTAATGTCACTGACTTACAAAACCTTTAACTGCATCCAGCTTTCCATCACAACATCCTAGTAAGCGTTACACACACACAAAAACTACTACATGAAAATTTATAATCAGATTATAATTTTATCTTATCAAAAGATAAGGCTATGACATAGTATTAGCAAGTTTCTGCGCTCTGATACACTATAGCATGAATTTCACTAGCATTGTATATTACTGCTGTAATTTTCAAAAATAGAAGCAGAAACACTTCTGCATTTTGATGTTACAGCTTAGATTGCTGGTTCCCAAGTCATAGAACTCAAACCAAACAAAGTTAAGCAATAACAACAAATTCTTGCATGTAACATTGCCGTTTTGTTTGTTTCACATACAAATTAGCTCAATGGGAACATGTAATTGGGGAAGATGTTGAGAAGAAGAGTAGATTTACTGTGACTTTAGTTGCGACATCCCCAGAGGTAGTTTTACATCACTAAAATACTATGAAAAAAAACCAAGGGAGAGCTTTGCCTCTGCCATTTATGAATATATGCTGTTTACAGCTATTACTTGAAAAAAACACTAAGACAAAATATTGTGCCTCATTTTTTGTGGCAATATACATGAAGAAAAAGAAAGCAACAATGGACTAGCATGTAAGTGGAAGACATGGATCCAGAAATTAGTATAGTTCCATGGAAAAAAAAAAAAAAGGAATTATTTTGACTATGCTAGCTGATGATCTGTCCATTAACATGTTGCCTCAAGGAGCATCAGAGTTAAACTATGTACTAATCCAACCAATTTTTATTCAATATGCTGCAAAACCACTGAAAACTACCTATACTTCAGATAACAAAACTGCAATAACAGGCTGAAGAGAAATACATATAGTGAAAATATGCAGTAGGATAAATTAACAAAATACTTTGCTATCCAACCTCAGACTCATGTTTAAATATTGTTTCTGTTTTTTGATACAAAAAGACATCTGTCAGTATTTCCAGAGATGGACCATTTTCATCTAAAAAGAGGTGGAAAATAGTAAAAACCTTATGGCTAAGAACAGGATTTGCCAAACCTGCAGTAGAACTGCGGTTTCTGTTTTATAAATACTCACTGAACTTTGCAACATAAAATAGTCAGTTCACAGTCAAGTGAGAGTGCAACAAGGCTGCCAGCCAACGTCTCAGGTCCCTCAGTGACTGCACTACGTTAGCCAGGCTTTCCTCTGCCAAAACTTAAGTAAGGAAGGTGACACAAGGCAGAATGGGGATGTCCTAGAACAGTACTTTAGGCACCTAATAATAAAACTGACCAACTTTAAGATGTACAGAAAAAGCTTTTAAAAATTTCGCATTGCTGATCCTGAGTAACAGGTCTGCTTCTGGAAGCACTGAGCAGTTGAGAACTCTGGTGGAATTCACATGCACGGCTGGCTGCTCAGCACCTTTGAAAAATCAGGTCACTTATTTAAGACTCTCAATATGGACCTGGGAACCTACTTTCAGAGTCTCGTTTATTACCCTTCACACTTTTGATTTCTGCTTATGAAGCATATTCAGTACTTTCTAGGACAACTCCCTTAAAAATTAAGATCAGTTTTAATGCTAAGATGGCGGGATTTTCCAAGAAAATTTACTTTTTTTTTTTGCTAAGACATTGTGAGACAAGATTGATTAATTCATTTGCATCTAAAACCATTATACATACTTGGTGGGTTTTTTTAATTGGTAACCACTAAAAACAAAATGGGAAAATAAAACAGGATCATAAATCAAATGAAATTCTAATCTGGTCAAATCTCCAATGCTAATCAGAAGAGTTTTCCATAAGCAGAGGTACTAGAGACACATGTTGCTATACAGGCAACAAATTTTCAAGTTCAGTATCTTAGTCATAATTCCTGACTTGTAAGCTAATTGATTTTTTTTCTTTTAAAATACTCTTCTATTGAAGAGTGTCAGTGAATCAATAAATTTGCAACAAGTTCTCATGAATCCTGATTTTCCAAAAATGTTCAATAGAAATTGTTCTAAATAATTGGTCCAAAACCATGCTGAACTGTTTTATGAGAAGAAACAGTTTCAGCATTATTAAAATAAAGTACTTCAAACATATTGAGATGAAATTTTGGACAAAGCCTTTCATTTTTTGAAAAACAACATTGTTGAGAATTTTCTTTCTAGAGAACTTAAACATATACAACAGACATTTGGCCACCTGGCTGTGCTTGCTACAGAATTGACTACTTCAGCGGCCCATGAAGAGATTGCTGAACACAGCACTGCAGGCTGTTCAAACACTCTGTATTATATACCAAGGGTATGTTGCTTATCTTGGGTTCAGATCACATCCTGTAAATACAGTTTGGGGAACTGATAAATAACTTCACACATCCCTGTTTGGATCAACAGAGAGTACATCATCAAAGAAGTGAGTTTCCGTTTCATCGTACTCAGAAAGAGGAAAAGTTCATCCAACTGACTATTGCAAAAGAAAACTTCTGGAAGAATTTGTCCTAGGACAGCTTTACTGTACTGTTAAGACTCCAATCTTGCACATTCTTTTGTCATCCAAATAGTTCATAACCCACATAAATAATTTCACTGTCATCAGTGAGACCAGTTATGAGAGCAAGGATTCTTCATCCAGGCACAGTTGTGCAGAATCAGGCCCTAACTTTTTAAGGCACATTCACCCTCTCTTCAGTCCTTCTCAATGCTACAGATTCTAAATACAGTTTTCTTGATCAGTGTGGAAAGGGTTCTTTTACCCAAACAATTCCATTTACTTCTCCTAGCTTCCACTGTGCATTTATAGCATGCCATATGAGATTTAAAAATTAACGTGCTTCTCTTCAGCCATGGAAATTCAACTGACAGTCTGCAAAAGTGTTTATAAATACAGCATATGTCACACCCATTCATCTCTGTAGAGCCCAGTCAGTCCTCGTCTTTATATGGGCAAGACATAAATAGGCATGAAAACAACAAAAAAAAACCTATCCCAGCAATACTTTAACATAATTTCTGAGATAAATGAAACCCAGTTGGCTTTATTTCAAACATTAGAGTGAAGAAAATATTTTTGGGAGTCTCATCACTACAATGTAATTCTAGCAGTGATGCAATGCCAGAAGTAACCGTGTCACTAGACCAGCGGGACTATGCCAAAGTATGTAAAAAAAATTGTTTTATAAACCCTGAAACTTCCAACATCACAGTGCTCAGCATTTTTAATCTATCATAAAAACCTGTAAAATACTCAATGCAAGGGCAATAAAATTCATAGGCATATAAAGCTTTACCATTTTCAGGGCCATTGTACCAATATTACATTTCATAAATCCCTACAAAGTAGCATAGAAGTAACACTCAGGTTTTTTGTGCAGAAATTGAACTATACAGGTAGTAAGGCCATGATCCGACAACACTCACACATCTTTAAATTTTAGGCATGTAAGTAAATTGAACTACGTGTGCTCAACACTAAGCACAAACTGAAAGGCTGGTTAATGGATAAATTAGCCCAAACGCTCTAAACTGTATCAGCCATAGCATCAGGTTCAGACCTTGAAAGCACATGCTTCCTCTTGCTGTTTTGGGTTCATTCATCAACCTGTGTGGTAAAAAATGGTTGGTGGCATCATCTGCAAACTGTCCTTAATATTAGCACTTGTTTCTTTATGCATCCTCTTAAAAAATGTTACTATTACAATTTTATAGAAGCCATTCTCAATTCTTGTCCCTCCTCACTACTTAGATGATAAAGGATTTTGCTGTCCACCTCTGTAGTCAGGCATCTCCCTGAGGAGCCAGACTGGGCCAGTTTTGCTCTCAGTGCCCAGGTGTGCAGGACAGGGCAGGAACAGCCAGGAAAGCGAGCGCTGTTCCCACCCGCTATTAGGCCCAGCATTTTGGAAAGCTGCAGAAAGTTCAGATGACACGGGAGTCATTAGAAACACAGAGAGATCACTTTGGCGTGCTCTGCAAGTAAAACCCAAACATACACTATCTGGTAACATCTTTTCTTCAACTAAAATACAAATTGGAGATTCCTAACAGATTACTACTAAAAACTTGCAATTAAAGAAACTACAGCCAACCAAGCTCTTGTTTTGCATCACCCACAACACTGTTACCAACCGAGCACATTCTTTGCGTTTATCCCATTCCCCAGAAACCTCCTTCCTCGGGGAACACAGGAGACATGCAAAAGATATGAGCCAGCAAAACCTACCTGTACAGCATTCCTCCTTGGGATTTAACTTGCCACTACAGGAGCAGGGGCAGGGCCTGTGGGTGGTCTGTTCTTGCAGGCGAGTAGCTTGGTGCAGAGCCCAGGGATCACCAGGCCAGTCTCTTCTCTTGGGGAGGTCAGGCTTAGCCTTCGCACTGTGCCCAGATCTGACTGAAAAGTCATAACCTGCACAAGAGCGTCGTATGCCTGTATATAAAACACCCCCTTTGCAAGCAGGAATTGGCTGGTTTCTCATTATGAGGTCCTCAGAAGTACCTTTATATATATATATGTAATCATATATACATGTATTATATATATAAGCCGTAGTTGGGTCTAGAACTTTGGATTTTGTCTTATTAGCTGTTCCCCAGGCCACCGCCCGCC